ATATCTTTAAAAATCGTGTCAACATGACTGCTTCTCACAGTATTTAGAACATACAAACCCACAAAATTTAAAGTCCACATTTTATTTTTTTAAAGTGATTACAGGAAACATGACAGAATACCTTTACGTACTTTCACAAACGGAGCTTCCACAGTGCATACTGGGTGTGTCAATTGCTTGAGCTATCATAAAAAACTACATTAAAATTTTGGACTGAAAACAGCTCAAGTTTATATTCTCTGAGCACTGGGGACCAGAAGCCCACAGTGAAAGTCCCTGAGCAGCTCTGACCCAGCACCTTTTCCATAGTGACCACCCTGCATGGAGGCCCCAGGAAATGCCAGGCATAGACGCCTATTATCCTGAAACATTAAAACACTTGACTCATTCTGGCTCTGGTAACATACGAAATCCCCTTTTGCTCTGTGAACCTGTGACTTTGGCTCCCCAATATCCCTGAAAAGGATAAGTAGGTAAAAGAAGTATTGCTCTATATTTTTCAGAAAAACAAAAAGAATGCAAAATTATCAGCAGTTCATTTGTGCAATGATTTCAAGGGAATTCTTCCCTTCAAAATGTTTTGATTAATCTGATATGGAAAGAAAGAGATGAGTATGACAGGATACTCACCAATTTACAAAAACTAATGGCCAGAAATTTCATGTTCTCTTACTTCCCTCTGGGTGAAAAAGATAGGATTTTTGCCCTTGCCAAATTATTTTCACTTCAGTGCCATCTTTGTGTTAATCACAAGGTCTAGGAAAAGACTACACCTATCATGTTTCTGACATTCTTCCACTGTACTTAGTAAAACAGATACCAGAAGCTATTTGCTAACTCGACCTCATAATACTAATGGTACAAAACCCAGAACATCAGTATTTGTAGGGTAGGAGCTGTTCCTTTCTCTTCCTAGGCGGGGGAGAGTCCAAACAGAGTGGCCTTTCTGCTCCCACAGACTGACCTGCTTACACACCACACCGTCTGGACTCTGGAACTGCCTGTATGGGCAGGGCAAGGTGCATTGTATTTCCCCTACAGATCCCACTTTCACGCTGTGGGCCTTCTGCCATCTGCTGCCGAAGACGTGGGCTTTATTACTACTGGTGATCCTCCAGATGTGGAAAATGCTGTGCATCACTTGGTTCAAAAAGAGGCCTCCCACCCTGCTCTTGCCTCTCCCCACATGCTTGCACCCACCAGGGGATTTGCATAGTGTCATGGGGGGGGGGTCATTTTTGCCAGTTTGACACAAAGGCTGAGCACTAACTTTGCTTGACTGATAAGAATTCTTCAGCTTAACTTCTCAACCTCAGGCTCTCTGCTCAGATCCTGGGCTGCTAACACTATGGACCACTGGTAAGGACAGAGGGAGATGAGGAAGGGGAATGGGGTGGGAGGGGGAGCTCTGGCGATGCACTGTTGCCCATGTCTGTTCTGTCCACATGTGAGGGGTGCAGGTCTTGTCCTCCAGGATGAGCGTGTGACATTCAGATCTGTGAGAGAGAAGGTGAATCCAGAAATAGCAGGGGCCTGGGATGTGCTGAAGACTGTCGCATAGAAATCTGGATTGATATCTGCAAATAATTCTAGAGGGCCCTTTGTGACTGCAAAGCTAGCTCTCACTTAAACACTGAATACATTTTCTTTATATCTCAAAATCACAAAGATAATTTAGCTTGAAACATACAATAAAGAGAAAATTATGAAAAGGAGCTGACCCTTCTTCACTATTTTGGGGAAAAAAAATTGAAAAGTCCTTGAATTACCCATAAAGGCATAAAAATACTAATATATGTGTTGTTTGCCAGAATAAAGAGAATGACTTTACTTTCTTTTGATTTTTGATTTGTTGAAAGGAGATTCTTTAAAGAATAGTATTACTTAGGTAAAATTAAAATACGATGAATTTCAATTTTCCAGTCCCATCCTTCTCTGAAGCACCGGCGGGGGCCATGCCCTCTCCATGGTGCAAATGCAACATGGTAGAACTTCCGCCATTTTGGGTCCTCGAGTGACTGTACACAGCAGAGCACCCTCCCGGCTCTCGCGGTGAATAAGTTTATGAAGAAAAGTGCTTGCAAAAGGTTTATGAGTCCTGAGCCATGAGCTTTGAGCCAGTCATATAATGCAACCCATCTTGTAAAATATAAATACATGAAAGAAAACAGATATGAGGGTTGTGAGCCATGACTGTTTTGTTGCCTTACCAGTTAAACATAAAATTAAATGTATACTTCAACGTAAGACATTTTCAAAGATGACTTTTTAGGTCAAATTTGTTTGCCGACTGACACAGCTATCATGCAGGCATTATGTAGGAAAATGGAGAGCAGACAACCACATCCCTGGGAAATTGAACAGTCTTGACGTTTGTATCCATAACTTCCTGTACTTTTGGGTGATCACACTAGCATTCTGAAGTTCCAAGGCAGACCTCTCCTCCAGCTTTCTCATCTCAGTGACTTAGAGACTGACTCCCGCCTCCCAATCCAGGCATCAGTAATTCTGAAACTTCTCCACAAGATTCCAAACACAACAGTCAAGGACAGAATTCAGAGATGGAGCCCTGGAAGCATGAATGACTTCCCAGGAGCAATGAGAAATCTTTGAAGAGTTAAGGCAACAGTGTAATTTACTTTCAATGTGATTGTTCTTATAAGGATTACTCGGGTTACTAAGTAAAAGAATATGTTCATTAAACATCTATTTATAAATTTGCTTCCCATGTGACTGGACCTAACCAACATTGCTAAATGATTCATGTATGCTATTTTGTTTATCCCTTACAGTTATTTTTCAGAGCTACTAGTGTTCCCACATTTCAAGTGAGACATGGAAACTTTAAACTCACAAGATTCACTGGATGCAGTTCAAGATTTTAATCCTGTCTCTGAGAGAAACTCTCCTCCCACATAATATGACTCTTCCCTGTGGGAGAACGCATACTGGCCAGAAGATGCCACTGTTCAGCTACAGGAAGTTTAGGTTCCTGGTTGCCAGGGAAACATCAGCCTGTGGGCTGACATCAGCATGATTCCACTCAGCTCTGAGATAGCATCAAGGTGTTTGTAAGCACACAAACCTAAGGAGAGTCTGTGACCCTGATGGGATCACCAAGACTAACTCCTAGGGGGCCACACTCCATGGGCAGTGAAGAGTGTGCACCTGGGCTGCAGGCCACACGCCAGCCTCCCCCTCCTCCTGTGACTGTCCAGGCACAGCCATATTTGTATAACAAAGAGGCACTTGGGTAGTAGCTCCCCGATGTAGCTCCATGGTAGAGCACTTATCTAGTATGGGCAAAGCCCTTGATTTGATCCCTAGCACTGTAAAAACAAGAAAAAAGTGTATAAATTCTGTTTTCTATTTTATATAAAATTAATTTTGAAAATATCACCCAACCCAGAACTTAACAGCTTCTATGCAGTGCCCCAAGATACAAATTATCTTCCATTTTTAGATGAAGAAAATCTTTAGGCACAATTCTAAATTATGTTTGTAACTCATATATTATGTTCTTTTGATTGGCTTCCAAGAAGCTCAGAGCTAGATTTTATACTCAACTATTTTTTTCTGTTCAAGTAAGGTTTACAAGGCAAAATTTGCATGCAGTGCAAGCCACCTTTTTGAGTGCCCGTTTCTATAGTGTTTGGCAAAGGCATAGATAGGTGTCCACAACCACGTTCAAGTTATAAGACGAAGACGGCACCCCAGAGAAATCCCAGGAGCCCTGTGCAGTCAACCTTTACTCAGCCCAAACTGACCTGAATCACACTGCTGCCTGCTCCTTACATAAATGCTCTGCTCTTTCAGGTGCCCCGTATGCATGTTTCCTTCAATATGGAACATCAGAAGACTCTGAGGTCTCAAACCATTATATACAATCTTTCCTACTATGCCCAATGTGAACGCTCAATTCCTACTTAAAGTGACTATGTAATTGCAATGACTTAGTACATTGTTCCCATAAAGACTCAAAATCTCCCCTGCCTAAACACTGAATTTGGTTGACTGAGGGGAGATGAGGAGACTGCAGGGAAGACTCAATTAAACACAGAATTATGCTCATCATTAGTGTGAAGTTAGAAGAACTTCAGAGGAAGATGCGACAGGGAAACAACTGTCAAAGAGATGAAATGGTGCCGGCTCTGAATTCAGAGGAAAGGAGCTACTGGCCAAGGAATGCGGGAGACCTCAAGCAGCAAGAAAGGCAAGGCAAAGATTCACTCCTGGAGGCTCCAAATGGAGTGCAGCCTGAGAGCCTCTGGATTTTAGTCCATTGAGTCTGAACTAGAAAATGATGAAATTTCTTTTTTTAATGAATTTTATTGGTAATTTTTGACATACATAATAATCCCATTCATCATAGGGAATTTGTACCTGTATGTAATCTATCAGAATTCTTTTTTCCCATTCCCCTCTTTTCAATCCTTCTTCTCCTCTCCATCTATAGAACTTTGTTTCTATTGTTTTCCCTCCATTATTTCTTATATTTTACCCCTATCTCCTTTTTCCCATCCCCATCCCCCTCCCGTGTCCACCTTCCCATTTGAACTTATTCTTCCTATTTCCCAGCATCTATCCTCCATTTTCGTCCTTCTTTAGACTTTGGGTTTCTCACGTAAGAGAAACAATGCAATAGTTGAACATGCATGTCCAATTTATTTCCCTTAAAATTATGTTCTCAAAATGTATCCAATTACCTAAAAATGTCTCAAGTTTATCCTCCTTTATGGTGGTGTAGTAATCCATTGTGTATAAAAACCACGTTTTCTTTATCCATTCATCTGGTAATGAGCATATGGGTCATCTCCAACATTTAGCTGCCATAAAATGTGCCACTTAAACAGCTGTGCATGTGTTTCTGTGTCTCAATCCCAAAATGATCATCTGAAATAGACACTTCTGATGTAAACAAAGAGATAAAAACAGCGAATAAATACATGAAAAAATTGTTCAACATCACTAGTCATTCAAGAAATCCAAAGTACAACACTGAAATTCCATTTCACTCCAGAAAGAATGGCTATTATCAAGGAATCTCTCCAACAAATGCTAGTGAGTCTGTAGGGAAAAGGTTCCACTGTTGGGAGGAGTGTAAATTGGTATGACCGCTATAGAAATCAGTATAGAGATTCCTCAAAAAAATAGAACTAGATGCTGAATTGACTCCGTTATTTCCCTTCTAGACATTTTCTCACATGAGTTAAAATGATGAATTTCTTATGTTAAAACCACTGTGCTTGTAATAAATTAATACATAAGAAATAGAAAACTAATACAGAGGTCTTTACTACATTTCCCATATGCGCGTCTCATAACAAAAGAATAAAGAGATCCACACACCCCTTACTTCCTACTAAGCTCTGCACGATCTCTCATGCACTAGAGCAAGGCACTGTCTCCCAGGCAGTAGGCAGCTGGGGAGACCCTGAGAGGAAGTTTATGTTCGAGGCTGAATCACTGTGGGAGGGTATTCATAATAATGCTGACTGTAATAATTACCCACGTCTTCTGCTTGGAGGTTGTTGATGGTAAGAGTGAAATCTGACCCAGACCCACTGCCACTGAACCGGTCTGGGACCCCAGATGCCCGCGTGGATGCCCAGTAGATGAGCAGTTTGGGAGACTGTCCTGGTTTCTGCTGGTACCAGGATAAGTAGTTGCTACCGCCAGATAGAAGACTCTGGCTGGACTTGCAGCGGATGGTGGCGCTCTCTCCAGCAGACACTGCCAGGGAGCCCGGAGACTGGGTCATCACAATGTCACTGCAGACACCTGCAATCAGGAATGAACAGTGATTGTACATACATACACATACAAGATTTTTTCATATAAAAATGAAATTAAACATTTAAAAGAGTCATTCTAATGTTACTCTGAGTTACCACATATTTGTGCTCAGATTAAAAATGATCATTCTTCTCCACTTTTTCTTAAAGTTATTTTGTAACTCTACAAAGAAATCCTTCTGAGGAAATAGTGGAGCTTTGCAATTTCTTACCAGAGACCCAGAGCAACAGAGCCGGGAGGACTGGAGTCCGGGACACCATCTTGCTGTCCCTCCTGGTGCGATGCAGTTCAGATCTCCTTGCAAAGGCTTCTTTTATTGAATCTGTGCAGCTGCTCTGGGCTGGGAGTGACCTATGCAAAGGAATCAGCAAATAAGGAAGCAAACTGCCAGGGTACTGAGCTATGAAAGTATCTGGTTAAATCAAGAG